GCATAAATTATTGAACACTAGTTTAAATTCTCCACATTTTAGCTACTTAATGTAAGATGCCTGTTCATTGTAGGATCTGTAGAATGAAACATGACATGCCCATATTCTTCCTGATTTATAGAAACTACTGTAAGAACTTAAAGCTTATCTGACTTTTAGGAAAGATGTGGTAGGCTAACTGCAGGTACTAAGTGTCATGGTAGATGTATGGCTTCCAGCTGCTGGCCCAGGGTGGTGCAGGTCTCTGGTGGCATAGGTTCTGCAAGACCAGATCTCTCCAGGTGTTCCTGGAGCACTCAAAATATTACTACACATTTATGTTCAGCACTTGACCTGAAGTGCTTCTCAACTCTGAATGCCCAGTGTCTAGCACTACATGGGGCAAGAACAATGCCATGGTAGTTTCTAGGTAGTTCTCATGAGCTTTTTACTATCAGCATTTGATTTTGCAGTTGCTTACAAGTGAAGGAGACTTCTCAAGAACATAAGGAAGTAACAGGCTTTAAAAGTGGGCAGAGTAAAACCATGTAGTATTTCAGATGTGTGTATATATAAAGTAACACTGGCTATTGTAAAATGGGAAATAGAACAGGCATTGTTTCTTGTAGAAGGGGAAACAAAACAGGCTCTAGAGGCTGAAGTCCTGATGCCCACGTTTGCCACAGACATTCTCTGTGCTGAATATGTCCCTTACCTCTCAGGAGCTGTTCACCTAGAGCTTGTCCTTTTGTCTCCTCTGGTGGAATAAACAGCTTATTAGCTTTGTCTCTCAGCAGCAGGCTAATGTAGTCACACAGGCTTTGGACAAGAGCAGACGTGCACCTTGCCAAGTCAGAGGGTGCACGTTTCACCCTGTGAAACGTGTGGCCAGAGATGGCCACAGGGTGAAACAGGCAGCTGGTGGGACTGCGGCTATGTTGGGAAACGGCTCAGTCCTCAGAGTGAAAGAAATCCATGGCTCTGAAAGGTCATCCCACACAAGCAGACACTCTGCTGTGACTTCCAGTCAGGCTGCACTTCATGTCAACCACACCGAACAATGAGCAGAAATGGCACAACTGGCACGCTTGCCAGGATTTCCTGTCTGCCAATGGTCACAATTTCCTGTCTGCCAATGGTCTGCCAATGGTTTTTATTTGTGGTTTACTTAACCGCAAATAAAAACAACTTTTACCACACCTTTTACCACTTTTTCCTAAATACTGACACAAATTATCCATATGTATAAATTTTTAGTAAAAACAGATTAACTGGTTGCACATGATCTTTTCCTCCTTAATCTCTCACAAAAGATAGGAAAAATTATGAGAAGTATGCTACATTCAAAATTAATTTCATTAATACGCTGTAATAGAAATGGCGCTGCTATAGATTGTGCTATAGTAAAAATAATACTATAATAAGAATTGTAATAAGAATTATTCAAGCAGATAAACTCAGTGGGTGGGGGGGGGGAAAGACAAAATTCCTAGCATACAGGGTTTGGAAAGGCTTATCCCTTTTGTCCACAAAACCTGACCCCATTAGTTGGTCTGATAAAAGTAATTCTTCCTACTTCTTCCTTGGTTGCCTCTTTGATATCCTTCAACTGTTGGGGCAACAGAATTATTACAAATTACTATCAAATTACACAATTTATACTTTTTTTGCATAACATTTCGGAAACCACTTAGTATACTTGTTTAAGTGGTGAATGCAGTTTAGAAGGGGGAAAATACTAATTTACATTTTTAATTACCTTTTAACATAGAAAAGACATTGTCAGTGTGAAATGTAGGGAATGGGAGATGGCTGAGAATGGAATGGTCTTGCCACATTTAAGCATGCATGATCTGCTTCCATGGAAAAAGGTTAGAGAGCAACAAATTCTCACTTTATTTCAGTAACAAAGGAAGGCTGGCTAGGATAGGAAGTTTCTGGGGGAAAAGCATTAGCCCATATGTACAGAGCAGCCTCTGGTGGTCTAAGAAAACATGGTAATGTTTATAACTAAGGATAGAAATATGTTTTTTAAAAGGATGTATGTACATATTTAGCTATTTTACTCAATCCTTCACTCAACACATTAAAAACCAGATGCTTTTAAAATGATCTGTCAATACGCTTGTTAAAATCTGAACAGTAAGAGTATTAAAATTCATATGCATTCATTAGCACATTATATAAAAATAAAATGCTTGTGTTTAATCATTCCATAAAAGTATTATAGTCAATGCTGATTATCAAAAAGTTTTTTTCCTGGTTTGCACTGCTAAAATTGAAAAAAATTTACAAGAGTGTTAGAGAATTGATGACATTTTCTGTCTTCACTTGTGAATTCAGTTGGCAGATGTTTTCAAGAACAAAAAAATCTGTCTTATTGCAAAACATATTAAGCAGGTTTTCTTGCCATAATGTTTGACATGATGTTTATTACCCAGACCAAATCAGTTCCTTTAACAAGCCACAATGAATGCCAGAAAGTACATTATTTCATAGTTAAGAAAACTTCCAGAAAGAAACAGTAAGTACTTTGATTTTTCAAGAGCACTATGCTTAATGCATTACACACTGCCATAGTAGTTTTTATTTATATTCATTTTGTACAAAAATACAGTGCAGTTTGATATTCTATATTTTGAGATTCATCTTTTACATAGTCTTCAATACCCCAGCTATTTTTTTTTACTATGAAAATAAAGAAAATAGTTAAACATAATTACCAAGGAAGAGTTCTAATTCTCAGGTTCTTGGAAAATCTAGCTGTACAACTGGGAACATCAACCAGACAGCTTTAATTTGTTCAAATGGCATTTCCTTATTAGATCACAACAGATCTGTGACCCTATGAGAACATAACTGAGGATATTTATTGGACTTATATTATATAAGCAACATATATTTGACTTATATGTATATAAGCAACAGTCCTTATAAGGACTGTTGCTTAACAGTCTGAAACAATTTCTCCAGCGTATTTGACACAACCATGTTTTTCCTTCCATGTTAGATAAGTTAAAGCCTTCCTGTGAGGAAATTTTTCGTCTAGTCTATCCATACTTTTTCCTACTTGGCAAAGTTGACATAAGGCCCGCTCAGGTTTTTCAAAACTCTTTGATGACATCATTTCAAATAATATACCATCCTTAAATATCACTGTTGAGTGACGGCATGTTTTATTTAAGAGCCTAGTGAGTCACATATATCTATACTATACTATACAGTAAGACTGCATCTGAACTGCCCTTTGAGATCAGCCCAATCACCACCAACACAGCAGCCTGTAGAGGCCAGTCCCTGGGCGCAGGCAGAGAGCAGTCCTGCAATATGGACTCAAGCATAGGAGGCAAGAAAATGGCAAATATGGCATTGCACCTCTCACAACCATCTACAGACTTAGCAGTCTACCTACTGACGGTCCAGTTTTGTTTCAGAAATTGAGAAGCAAGAAAATTGCATTGGTTTGTCCTGCAATACAAAAAAGCAGTTATGTTTTTCTTTCCGTTTCAAAAAACTGTATTCGAGTCTACTAATTAAAAAAACCCCAAAATAATAATTTCAGAATACAATACCAAGCTCATTAGAAAACCCAATTTCAATTTATTAATCTGGGGAGGGAGACCACTAACCACACTCTCACAAAAACATATACTACTTTCCTGGATTTGAAGAAAATCAAATAAAGCAAACATCAACAGTCATATCTATAGCGTGGAGCTGTGCAGAAAGGAAAATAGAATGGAACAATTCCATTTTATATTTTTGTATTTTATTTTATATTTTGGGGGGGGGGTCAAACCTCCTGAAACCAAATTTCATGCCTCATGAGGCAAGAGTCATAAGAAGGTAGAATTCCTAAAAAGGTTATGAGAAAAAGGTTCACTTTCAACAAGGGAACACCGAACCTGTATGCTGACTAGACTTCTTTTCAGACAAAACAGCAGCACTGTCCACTGGATTCTCATGGACCTTAAGTTAAAACTGGCTGCTCCTCTTAAGAAGGAGGGTTTGGCTAGTGGGTAGAATAGCATCTTATAAAACAGCCGCAAACAGAAAACACAGTGCCTTGTTGGTGACTTTGAATATATATATGCATTCCTTTGTTTCCCATACTCAGGTATTTTTCAATACACAGTAAGTATTTATGGCATTACCGACAATCTCATATCCAAGTTACTAACCCTTTTAATTAGCCAGCACAGTTATATTTCTTCTACAAAAACTGTTATGCTAAAAAAAAAATTAGCAGGGGCATATTAAAATTTAAGATGATTCTAACATGTACCTTAGTGGATTTTTCTCTGTTTCTCACCACAATGACATACATGTTTTTTGTTTTACCTTCACTGTGGAGTTTCTAATGTATTTTATTGCTGAATGGAAATGCAAACTTTCATAATAAGGGTTTTGGAAATTGTATGATTCAGTCTGGAATATATAATGCATAGTATATACATGAAGCAGAATGTGCCAATGTGCAAGTAATATTGTTTGTGCCCCCTGCAGAATTAGAAATCCTCGGGTAGCACTGTTATAATGATCCCATGCTGGTAGCATTACAAAGTGCAAAGGTTCACTGAGTCAGAAAAGGGCAAGGGACATAGTTTCTTCATCATACCATTCTCAAATTATTCTAGCTTAAATATTTATTAACATATTAGCAAGTTTCCTCCTTTATCTGCCTCCAAAAGTTTAGCTCAAACACAATGGATGGCTGCTCATATAAAAACAATACATTACAGAGTAAATTTGCTACCACACAAGATGAACACTGGTATTTTCCATAATACGTTATTAATTTGGCAGGTGATAGAAACTATCAGGCTGTAACTACTGATTCCCATGCAATGCATACATGTCATGTATGCATTTAGAATACAATAAATGCATACATGACGTGTGAAGGTTGTTTTCAGTAAGGTATTTGTTTTTAACAAAGCATGCTATTTATTAGCCAATATAGGCAGTAAGAATACATATGCATCAATAAAGAACAGCAAACAAAACCAAAAGAAACTTACTCTAATATAGATCTGCATAGTTTCTTTTTCTTTTTGTGGATTTCGATACTTTTCATAGAAGTCACGTCGCTTCTTTGTTTCCTTCTGGATTTTATCTTTCCTTTCTCTCTTTTCTGCAGGTTCATCTGAGATATCAGAAGACAGCTGTACTTGGGCTTTGGTCTTCTCAATTTCAATATAGTTCTCATTGGGATTCAGAACTATTACTCCATAGCCTTCCTGTTTTAGAAGAGAGTCACACACACACACACACATACACAAACAAGAAGAAAAGTGAAAAGGGGAATTTAATGCTTGAAAATGCTTTGCATTTACTTTAATGCTCTCTAGAACTTTTTTTATTTATTTCACTAACTTCATACAACATCATTTACAGAAGGGTTTTTAAAAATATTCTGTCATTAAAGGGATATTGATGTGTGAATATGTATCAGAGCATGTACTTAGGCTCATACACAATCCTCAGCATCAAAAACGTTGCCTGTTTTACCTCTAAAATAATTTAATATATTGTTTTATTCACAAGCACTTTATATGATTTTTTCAGAAAACAATACAGGAACTGAAAGCAAAACGTTGCTTTAAGAACTTTATGCAATAATGAATAAAAAGCTTTATGCCCAGACAGTAAAAACCTTTAAAATAAAAAGGATTGAGAAATTTTATATATAAAGATAGATACACTGAAGAAAGCATGTGGAAATTATTCACCACATTTCAAAATAGTAAAATCTTTTGTCTAGCTGACAATAAGCATACCAAGCGGAGGCAAACAGCAGCAGTAACAATAAATCAATACCAAAACTGATTCAGTGGTGTTGCTTACAAGTCAACTCTTTATGGTGGGTCTGACTTTTTAGTGCATCTTTAAATCTGCTGTAAAAGTTCACTAGAATTATTTTGTATATTCAACAAATGCAGAGCAAATTTGTGACCTGCAGGATGCTTTTGAGCGTATAAGGTACTTTTTTTTGTCTCAGGAAATGAGCTGGTTGAAAAAAATATTTATGAATAAGAAATAAATCTAGAATAAATCAGCCAATCAAATGTTACGAATTTTAAGTGACGGCAAATCACAAAAATCCTAATATTTATGTAAGATATAATTGCAAAGGGAAGGGAAAAAAGAGAAGCACATATATTTAACAGATGTGTCCCTAAAGCTAGCATGAGCTCCCAGTCAAAATCAAGCTATCCTTTAGAAGTACATTTTAACAAAGACTTACTTTTCAGAAACATCTATATTAATTATCTAATGTAACAGCTTTATTCCAGCTTCTCACTTGGTGCTTCATTTTGCACTCGGTCCTGCCATGAGGATCAAAAAAGGTTCCCCATACCTATCTGCCCTGAGCAAACCAAGTCTACGCCAACAAAAGATACTTTATTTGGGTTTGTTTTATTCTATTCTGTAGACCCATTAAAAAATCTTGTAGTTCATTGTGGCCACTGTCAGGTACACAGACTGTCACTCACTGATTTTCTACAGTTGGACACATTTGACTAACTATCAAAATCACATCCGAAGGGAGTTCCTACCCCTTATCCTTGTGCCCTTCTCCAACGTCTGCCGCAGCTTCTCCTCCCACCAAAAACCAAGTTAAAGGGCACAGCTGCACTCTGCTAAACAGGGTGAAATAGACAAATTCCGGACGCTACCTCTGGCATAAGCAACGTAGTAAAAAAAGGTCACAACAGGCCATAGAGAAAATTGTCTCCTTGTTAGATGCAGCACCATAAGAGGTCTCCTGTCCCATGACTGCCCTGTCCTGCCTGCCATGAATTCAACTGGGATAAATATAAACAAACATGCAAAAATATAAATAAACAATAAGGAAAGGGTGAAAAGAAAGACAAATTTTAAAATCTATCCACACCATGCCTGGCCCTATTAATGCAAAATGCTGAACTATAAGCACATGAATTTTAAAGCTTGTAAAATTTCAAAGCCCAAACTTCATCATGGAGAAGAATGTGGCTTACAAATCCTCCTAAACTGCACATCTCAGATGATAGTTTTTCAGCCTGCTACTGCTGGAGCTTTTGCAGTACTTGGCAGGCTGGTAGTTTTGGGGCTCTTCATCTTCTTGACCTGCTTGATCTGAGCAGAGACATTCAGTGTATAGATTTGTTTTGTTTTCTACTCAATGCAAAATGCAAAATTCATGAGTTTATTTAAGATCTAGAAGTTTGAAACTTTGTGCACTTCAACCTGATCACAAAACAGTCACAAAAATCATCAGAGAAGGGGAATTTGTCTAAGTTATTGATCATGCAACTTAAAATTACATGACTCATTTGTCCCATTTTATGAGGACACAATGTCAATTTTTCACACAGACCTCAACAGGTGAAGTAAGATTCTATTTTTAAATTCACTGTTTTATAAATCAATTAAAGGATTTTTATTGAATATATTTTAAGCACTGCAACATAACTTCCTTTATATTTTTTCACAATTTTTCCCAGACAGCAAGCCTTTCCTGACAGTAGAATTAAAATAACTAAGTAATAACTAAACTTTTTCCCCCCTTCTATTATAGGAAAGCCTAAGTCTTTCCCTTTGGAAAGTAATCTCTTTCTGGACTGTTTTGCATACATGATATGGTGTGTCTCCCTTTCCCTTGTACTTCTGCATCATAAATTTCAAGAAGAAAACAATGGCACCAGAAAGAAGATTTGAGAGTAACATATAAAAATCAACACAGAAAAACAAAATACTGGTAAAAAAATAGCCAATTACAATCTCTCTCATTCAGCCTTTATCTGAGCATTTTCCACCAAAAAGAAATATTCTGCTCTAAATAACATCAGTATAAACAATATGGCTTTTAACTTCAATTAATTAAAAAAAAAGTAATTTATGTGGGCATAGCAACACCATTCAAGTTCAGTGCAATCAGAAAATGAAAAGAAAGGTGGAGCACCAATGCAGTGAATTTGAGAAGCATGCAAGTCAATGCAAACCTCAGAACACAAGACCACTAATATCTTAAAAAAGGCCTTTAGCAAAATTTAATAACAGACAGTCTTCTGCATAACTGTTAACATAGACAAAAATCACATTCATTAAAAAGCATCATTTAAAATGACAGTCCTGTTCGGAAACACTTCTTTGCATGCAGGACTGTATTAATCTTTTTTCACCATATGCATACTTCCTGCATGATAGAAGGTATTAAATGTGGTATTACTATGTATTACTTTGCTATTTGTTAAATCAGTGTCACTAAAAATACCAATTTCAGCCATGATGAGCTTACATCATTATTAAAACATAGTGACCTATGACTTACTTAAGTACCAATCATCTAGAAGGGTTTCTAAATCTTGCCATACTCAGTGGTATTAAGTGGTATGCAAACATTAGGCAATAATAGTAGTTTTCAACATAATAACAGTAGTTTTCAATGTAATAGTTTTCTCCTCTGTGACCAGTGTGCACACAAAGAGAAACAACCCTACAAAAAGTTTTTTCACTATAAAAAGCTAAGCTTTAAGGACACTACCCCCTCATCCCCATCAATCTTCACCCATCAGTGTACCAGTAATAAGACCTTATAATTATGGCAGACCCTGACAAGTGAAACTCCCAGCCTCTCATCTACAAAATTACAGTTTCTCTCTCAGACTAAAACACCCGATTAACATCTCTTCCCCTCACACGGTAATGCTTCAAGGTAAGTAAAATTTAATCTACACTAACTCCTACCATTCTCCAGGTAGCTACTTCTGGAGGTTGAGAATTGTGATGATGAAAGGAAAAGCAGGCTTACTAAGTCAAGCGTTGGAAAGAATCATGAACCTCAGTTACAGTATGTATACTACGAAGACAGAACAATGTAGAAGACCTTTTCCATTGCAATACATGAGTCAGAAATGGGGCAGTACTTTCTCTCTCTACTGGAAGTTCAAGGGGGTAAGCTTACAAAAAAAAGAACCTCAAACTATTTGAGGTAAATTTCAAATAATTTGCAATCTCCTGCCTGGCACATGAGTAATGAGCTGAAACCACTGCATATTAATCCCATCAGGGCGGGATACAATACGTAACAAAAGAAGTCAGAGCCAGAGAGGTATCTTTTGACCTGTGTAACGACCTATGTAACTATCTTTTTGGACTGTGGGCAAGGATTTAAGAGAGATCATTTTCCTATGCTTGATCAATCTGAATTTTCAAGTTCAGGTTTCTATTTGGACGGTTGGCAGCAAGACCAGAATAAATTCCTTGGGGAAATGCAACTCAAAGCACACTGTTCTTAAACCTGCCTGTGGTTAAAACAAACACAGCAATGTCCATTCATCTTTCTGAAAGACGTATGCTCTGTTCATTTCCCATCTTCACTGCGAGAAGGGTACATCTATGTCACTATTGCGACACTGTAGGTGCAACAGCAGGATGAGGTCATGACAACCAATCAGAAGTCACTACTGAAGCGTTAAAAGTAAACATAGCTGTTGGAGATGCAGCTCAGCTTGAAAAATGCCCCCTCCATTATTTGAGCAATTTTCTCAAGACGTGACCTGTGACTGAAACGCCTGAAATGTCAGTTGATTCCGCTTTCTGTTTCCACCCAATGTACATTTTGGCAACTGCACCCTGCTAACACTGTGATATTTCCATCCCAGATATACCTCAGCTGCTTGAATTCCAGCACTGTGTCCAAATGAGTAAAAATGCCATGCTTCTGCCAAACAAACTTTCTCCTGCTAAGTTCCAAACTTAAAACAGCTCATCAGGTTAGGCAGGAAAAGAAAACGTACCACAAAAAGATTTTAGAGGATCACCTGTTGTCTATTATTTTTACATAGCACTTACTCATAAATCATAACACACGGTAATTAATCAAGCTGTCAAAGAGAAGGTCAAAGGTTATGTGGGCGAGTCAGAAGGTCATGCATGGGCTGATAGAGGTCAGGGTCACACTGCATTCCTCATTATCAAGTTGGGATGAGGGACGGCCCAAGCAAACAAAAGTGAAAGCAGATGGGGAACTGAGTAGATAAAAAAGAGGAGAAAATTTCACAAACAAAAAGAAGTGGAAGAATGTGAGTTACCTTCAAACAAGGAGGAGAACAGAACAGAAATACACTGAGATGTTCTCAAAAGACTGCACATAATACAGAGAAACTACAGTTTGATTATTTAAATACATTTGCTATAACTTTCCGTCCAATTTTTTTGCAAATACTAAGCAATGCCACAAAAAGTGTATGGT